TGTGTTGGAAAGAACATGTAGTATCAAAGTAAGTTTACCAAATTAGGATTCTTCTTCTTCTTCTTCTTTTATCTTCTCTCTCTCTCTCTCTTTTTAATTTTAAAATAAAATTCGATTCTAAAACTTTTTTTCAAAGAAGGATATTCTTCCCCTTGGTGAGCTTCTAATGAACTTTCTCCATTATTGGGAAATTTTACTGAGTTTGGATTTTCCTCTAAAGGCATACCAAATAGGACATAGATTATCTACTTCTGCAGAAGTAAGGCAAATTGATATCAACTATAATGTATTTAGAGAGATTTATTTTCAGCCCCAACATATTTTTAACAAGTCTCAGGATATCAACCAAAATATCCAGCTTTTGTCCCTTCATAGTCGTTAATAATGAGGGTACCGTCGGTGGATTAGAGGCAGACAATTGACATGGACTTATCTTTACCTATAAACTTATAGTAAAGCCTCGATAATGAGGTCCTCTGTAAATGTTTCGAGAATTTGGATAAGCTCATCCACGATTGGAAACAGAATAAAAGGAGACAAAGGTTCTGCCTGTCTTAATTCTACTTTTATTTTTCCATGGGGTCTTTTTCTTCCATTTAGAAAGTTAGAGAAAGTCGTTGTACTGATGCAATTGAAGATCCACTCATCCAAACTTGACCAGAGCACTTTTTAAGCACCATGTCAAGAAAACCCCAATAAACATTAGGTGGAATATTTGTGCTTTTAGTTTCTCTTTTTAACTGGTGATGTAATTGCTGTTCCCAAAGAAATTTTAAAAAATGGAGGTCATTCTGATAGAAAAAATAGAAGTCATTACGGGATTGTGATTATATTTTATAAAGCTTAGCTGGAAAGAACTTGATATATTATGGAACAGAATTAGAGATGCTAATGCCACTAAGGGTTTCCTTGAGCATCGACTCTATTTCTTTTCCCTTTTATTTGTGATATTAACATCTAGATGGAATCTGTTATCTCAGATTTCTCCTTGGATAGTTTGGTATGCATTTTCATGCATACTTTTTATCAGTTTGGGGTGGATTTTGGATCACCTCTAGTCAATGAAAATTATCATTTCTGACCTTCCTCTCTCAGGCTGTTTTTTGTAGGCCCTCTTTTGTACTTTTTGTACCTCTTTTCATTTTCCTCAATGCAAGTGTTATTCAAAAAAGAAAAGTTTTATGAGGAAAAAAAAACCATTTCTGATTCTGGGAAAATTTCAATACATGAATGTTCTTTTTGTTATTCTTCCTTATTAATTAGCTTGCTATCTTATCTGTGTTAAAGGATGAGCGAAAGGTAGTTACAAAACGTAAAACTGAACTTGGTGGAGCATTCTCAATGGGAAGTTGGATACTTTTTATTGGCTTGTTTGCTGCGTAAGTACTAACATTCTTTTTCTTTCTTCTGTCATATACTAAAAACAATTCTCTCACGTTGGTTTCGTATTGACTTGGTCTTTCAGTGTTCTCTCAGGTTGCTTTACCAAATCATATCAAAGAGGAGCATCGAAGTGCATAATGTGAAAGCAGCAAATGGGCCAGACTTAGCTTCCTTTGTGAATGACATGGAATTTAATATAACTGCAGTTTCTACTATGAACTGTGCAAATGTTCGTGGTCTTGATACTGTAGTGTTTGGAAATCCTGGTTTTCTGGAGCAGAAAGTAATGCCTCTGTCAAATTTTGCAAACTACTCCTGTCAAAACAGGAGTGAAGGGCCAACTATTAGTGTTCGGTGTGAAAGATGTCGTTTCATTCAGGACGATATTTATATATCATGGCAGTTTGTTGATCTTCCAAATAGTCCTGCAAGTGCTGTTGGATTTCAGTTTAGCTTCTCTGCAAAGGATCATGCTAAAAAAGATCGAGAAAGTTTTGTTAGTGGAACATTAAAAAATGGAAGCAATTTTGATGATACACCAGTTACATTCAGAGGGAAGAATGCAAATATAGTGCAATTTAATCTATTTCCAAGAATATACCGGAACCAACAGGATTCCAAGCTCATGCAGCCTTTATTTCATGAGTTTCTCCCAGGTTCATCCTTTCAAAAGACTAGTGAGCTCCAATCATCCCTTCAAAATGTTAATGATGGACTACTCAACATCACCTTGTACATCAATCTTCTCTCTTCCTACATTGTTGAGGTAGAGAGTCAAAGTATTATGGGCCCTGGTAAGTCTTTCGCTTCATTTTCATGTACACGCACTCATTAACACACACTTATTTCACACAAACTGAATTGTTTGGATATTGAGCTAAGGATGGATGTTCATTCAGATTTTGTATATACCTCTTATAGGATGCAATCCTAGTCATAGTTATATAAATATCATGCTATTACCCTAATATTCCTTTCGGGATTAGCATATGTCGTTGTCTTGAATGAAACTTCCTCAATAATTACATGAACAGCCTGATTGCCACCTCTTCATTTATTAAAGTTTTCCATTTAGCTCTTAATGTGTTACCAACATTATCCATATTCCTTACTACGCTACCAATAAACTGTCCAGGATCGCTTAATCTCCACCATCATATTAGCCGTACTATTCCACTGATATATTTGGTTATGTATGTCATTGGACACATTATATATCACTCAAATAATGTTGAAAAGTTACTGTATTCTAGTAACTTGGATGCGCAGCCCAGTACACTAACTCTTGACCTAAGTCGTTCTTGGCAGGGATAATTGTTTCTCACCTAACATTTCCTTTGAGGTTATTTTTGTTTTGAATTGTTAACTATCCAAATGAATTTGATGCTTTCAGATCCAGTTACCCTAATATGGTAAATCTTTAGAAAAAAGTAGTAATTGTTAATATTACTGGTTACAGCTAGCTCTCTTTTCCAGCTAAAATCTCTGGCACTTTTTTTATTGTTTAAAGAGTCAGATGACTTGTCAATTTCCTATATTTTCCCCTTATCTCTCATCTCAGTGATCCCGATTAGTCAAATGGTATGATAAGTGGTTATGAAAGTGGTCCTTGAGAAATCCATTTCTTTTTTTTAACAAGATACTAACTTCTCATTGAAGAAATTAAAAGGAACAAAACTCTCGAGTGAAAGAAAGAAATAACAAAAATTAAAAAGGTATAATAAAAGCTCCCCAATTAGAACAAATCAAGCTAGGGGTGTAACTTTTAAAAATAGAAGATAGGAAACACCATTGAGAAACTTTAAACTTAGCTAAATTGAAACAAATCAAGCTAGGGGTGTCCTTGAGAAATCCATTTCTTGCTGTTTTACTTCTGTCTTAGGTCACGGGTCTCTACATCTTCATCGAACTCTTGAATAAGATTGTTTTTCCTCCTTTCCCTCTGATTATGAAATTTATTTTGTGAATGAATATCTTTAGATTCTCTACTTGATTTATATAAAAGTTAATGGGTAGCTTCTTTGAAGATTGTTTTTGTTATGCATTCAATTGATCTTATTTTGTAACTAATGTTTATAATGGTATTTGGCTAACATTGTGTTGGTCCTACAATTTCTTTGTTATGCAGTTAGCTTTCTTGCAGATCTTGGTGGCCTATATTGCATTAGTGTTGGCATTTTCTTCTACCTTCTGGTGCAGGTATGGCTTTTCCCCAAAAAAAATGATTTTGTTTGATAAGAAACATCAGGATACATTAACAAAAAGGGCCAAAGAAGTGGGGGCCGGGGTAGAGGAATCCCTCGTCCAAAAGAAAACTACACAATGAAAGCTTTCCAATCATTAATAATCATGAGGACGCTATAGTTGCACAAGAATTGCTTGTGGTTTGAGCTATAGTTACAAGAGAAGCTTTCCCAAAAGTTATTACCTTTTGTATTCTCAACTCTTTATGATACAACCATGATGTTCCTCTTCCAGTTTCTCATTTTGGAAGAACTAGCGTACACAGCACTGGTTTATATATATATATTTTAATAAAAATGCAACACTCATTATACGTTGTCATCATGGTGTCAGACATTGTTCCATAAGTGAGCTTGTCATTGATATTGATTTAGTTTGAAATAAAAAGAAAATTATATGAGAAATGACCGATGTTATGGGAGGTGGAGCTTTAGTCCCTTCCAGTTTCTGTGTCTCATTAGGCATATACTATATCACTGGAACCAATTCTCGCTTCTTTCTTTGAGATCGAGTAATTGTTTCACTTCCCTAACTTGGTTTGTTTTGTAGTGCGAGTACAGAATTAAAAGGCTCCGCAACGAAGACAGTGTTTTGCGTAAAATTAGAAATAGAAGAAAAGCACAAGAACATTGGAATAAGGTGTTTCTTCTTCATCTTTTTCTCTCCTCAAGTTATTTGATATACTAGTCAGTGTCTTCCTGTTCTGTTTTACTTTAAGTGAGGGAAATTATTTTAGTACCAAAGGAAAGACTCACCGAGTGCTAGTTTTTTAAGCCCAAAAAAAAAAGAGAGAGAGAGAGAGAGAAAAAAAAAGAAGAAAAAAACCGAATTTATCCCAACTCTGTGTGAGGTGGTATTGTTGGGCGTAGGGTAATCTTGGGGCCTAGGCATGGCTAGCAATAATTAGAAATTAGTGGGTTAAGAGAGATATAGTTTTTTTATGATCCAGAATCGGAGCTTTGCTCTCCTATATTAGGGTACCCACGTTCGTCTCAAGGCCTAGATTCACAAGCCCTTGCCAACGAGGCTGTCTTGGGTGGAGAGTTATAGTTGCTTTTTGAAATTAAAAAATTCTTGAATTATGATGGGTACCAAGCTGACTTGTATTACTTTCTAGTTGAGGAAATATGTAACGTATACATGGGGCTGTAGTACACTGGAGGATTATTATGATCCGTCAACAACAGGTTGCGGCAACTGCATGGTTCAATCAAGTAAGAGTGGATCATCACGCAACCGAAGGTTAAGGAATAGTAGCAGTACTGCTCTCAGTTTTAAGAGAGAAGTAAATGGATCTACGAAGAAGGTAATGTTCTGTTATCTTACATCTGCACGAGCTTATTTATTTTCTGAAATTGTCCCTTCAAGTCTCTCCCTCTCTCTCGCCTCTTGGCTCTTTCAAAATTGATTAGACTTATCATATGCAGAACGCTAATCAAGATATGAAATCTCCGGAGGCAAGAGCTACCGACCAGGAAATGAGAATGATAGCAACCAAACAAGAGCTTGTGAGTTTTCTTGCCAATTAGTATGAAAATTTTAACTATTTTTTTAAAACAAGATACATACAGTGAAAAAGATGTTCAAAGGAGACGGACCCAAAAATGAGTGAAAAAAAAAGAAAAATGCGAAAGGCAAAGCTCAAATGAGGCTCTATAAGAGCATCCCAATTCATACAAATATTGCTCGAAGGAAATAATGGCTAAACAAATTGTGAAGCTTTGAACATGGCTAGCTTTGTCTTCAAATATGCTTTCATTCATTTCAAACCAAATTTAAAAAAAAATGAATTTGACCGCATTAATCTATAAAAGCTTTGCTCCAGAGGGTAATACTGGTCCAATCAGCAACTGAGAGCATTTCTACTTACATTATTGTCAAAAATCCACTGCACTTTGAACATCTTAATAACAGAAACCTAGCAACCAGTACCATAAAAATACGAGAAAAAGAGATGATCTTCTTACCATCTCCAAAACATAATAAACACACTGAAGGCTGTAAAATTGAGGAGAGCTTCCTTTGAAGAACCTTCACCGTATTTAAGCCTGGATGAAGTATAATCCTGGATAGAACATTAACTTTCTTAGGGCTCTTAGTTTTCCAAATAGCCGAGTACTCCTCTTTAACTAAATGGTAGGAAAAGGATAAATGCCTTGTCAAGAACTTAGAATCTTCTTCATTTGATAAAGAGGATACTGCCTAACTTGCCAACAACATGCTTAATTCCTCAATTTCATCCTCTTTCAAATTGCTTCAACTTTCCAGACTTGTGAATATCATCCCAATAATAAAAACTGAACCCTCAGAGGATGATATTTCTTTTCTTCAATTTATATTCGTTGAACTTTTGGCGCTACATGTTAAATCACTATTTTAATCTGAAAATCTCAAGCTGTTATGTGAGTAAATATGATATCTTAGTTAATTCCTTATTATATATTTTGCAATGAAAACAAATTCACTTTATTTCTCATCTTCTAAACATTGCGACAACCCTAGGATATGGAAACAAGTATCAATAGTAACAAAAGGCTAAGACAAAGGAGGAAAAAATCTTACTAGGAAACAAGAAGATACAATATTTACATATGGGAGATTAAGGAAAAAGAAAAATGAACTTGACAACCCTAGGATATGGAAACAAGTATCAATAGTAACAAAAGGCTAAGACAAAGGAGGAAAAAATCTTACTAGGAAACAAGAAGATACAATATTTACATATGGGAGATTAAGGAAAAAGAAAAATGAACTTGGTCCACGATTATGGGAGTGATAAGAAATTGCAAAAAGGAGCTCCAACTATTGGTGATAAAAAAGGATGACCAGAAGTTTAAACTCATAGAAGAGGTTAAAATGTGCCCAACCTCCAACCTCATCCGACTATCAACACTTGAGAAAATGGTGGAGTGCAACGCCTCCCTGAAAACTCCCCTTATTTCGGTGATTTGGAGTTTTAAAGCTCCTAAGAAGGTGAAGATTTTTCTGTGGTCTCTAGCCCACAGAAGTCTCAAGACTCATGATATGATCCAAAAAAGGTGTAGAAATTGGGTGATCTCCCCCTCGGCTTGCAGCCTTTGTACAAGTAGTAATGAGAGCATAGACCACCTTTTCATGCACTGCAGGTTTGCAGCTCAGAGCTGGTTTTTTTTGGCGGATTGTGGTGTCTTTTTGTTTCCCTAAACAGATAGATGATTGGCTTTCTGAAGTTCTTCATGGGTGGATGCTTCCCAAAACGACTAGATTCCTATGGAATTGTGCTTCAAGATCTTTGCTGTGGCACCTATGGCTAGAGAGGAACTCCCGAGTTTTTGAGGATAACTCTTCTACTTTTGAGTTTTTTTTGTAGAAATGTACAGCACACTGCTTCTTGGTGGTGCACCAATTATAGAAATTTTTTTTGTATTACAACCTTTCCTTGTTCATGAGCAATTGGGAAGTGTTTACTTAGATCTTTTGGGTGGGGTTTCCTCGACCCTAGCCCTTAGGTTGTTCCTCCTTTTTTGTCAATTTAAAGTTTCTCATCCCAAATATTTTTTTTAATAATATTATTATTATTTAAAATTAATAATGAAAAAAACATGCTTTCATTGAGAAGAATAAAAAAATACAAAAGAGCAAACAATAAGACATCCCAACAAAAGGAGCCAAACTAAAAGAAGAGGCTCCAATATAACAAAATCAAACTAATGGGTAATTAAAAAAATCTTTGGACACTGAGGCCTAAAGAGAAACATGAAACCAAACAAGAGCCCAAACCTCCTCCCAAGGTCCCTTGAACCCTGTAATGATCTTGTTATTTCTCTTGTTCTATAGCCACCACAAAACAGCACAAAAACGTGCACACCACAAAAAATGCCCCAAAACGGAGGGTGAAGGAGAGCCTTCGCCAACATCAAACTACACTCTCTCGAGCAAACAAAGTAAGCCCCAAAAGCCTGAAACAAACAATCCCAAACAGAGAGATACAGACTGGCAAGTCACAAGATCCAATGTCTCTCTATTGAACAAATGACGGCAGAAACCAAAAACTAACGAAGAAGTGTTGCCTAGAGAAAGCAAAATTGAAGATTGGTCGACTTCTCATGGATGAAAGATGATACAAAAGAGGACACATGAAGCAAAAGGGTCTTTCCTCAAGTGTATTCCCATCCCCCACAAAACAATACAAAAACTGAGAAAAGAAGGAAATATCGGAAGAGACAACTATCTACAGATTCCTAGAAGTGCCTTTAGAACCCCAGCCTATTGCCCATTAAAAAGGATGAGAACCATACTTACTCACTATAACCCTATGCTACAATGAATTTGACTCCTGCAAGAAATGCCATAACTACTTGGCCAACATGACTTCATTGCTAGTTTTGCATTGCCTATGCCTAAACCCCCTTGATCCAAAGGCTTAGACCCCAACCCCTAATTGACTAGATGAGACTCTTTCTCTTCATCAACCGCTTCCCAAAGAAAGTCCCAAGTAATTTTCGCGAAGCTCTTGTTTATTTATTTTTCTTGATAATCGGGATCGAAACTTTGCTCCCATATGTTTGGGGCCCGTTCCTGCCCCAAAGCTTGGATCCAGGAGTTTCTCGAAGCTCTTATTGATAGATCTAGAGATCCTAAACAAAGATAGAAAGTAGGTTGGGATTCCACTTAAAACATATTGAATAAGGAATCGAATAAGGAATAGTCTTTGTTGAGAGAAGAAACACTTTTTCCACAAAGAAGGGCACTTCTACACTTTTTTTTGCAAGAAGAGCCCAGAATGACAAAGATCTATTACTGGGCCCAAGGGGAAGGGCCAGCTAAGACGAAGGGAGGGACCATACCTCATTGCCCACCTGGCCAATTTAGAATGATCGAAGTTAATGCCTAAGACAAAACATTTACTTCTATTGATCTTCAAACTTGAAATCAACCTAAGAGGCGGTTGAGATTAACAAAAAAAGCTCTTCCTTGTGGGAGCAAAAAAAAGATTGTGTTATCGGAAAACTTAAGGCAAGACAAACGCAATCTATCCCTCCCCACTCGAAAACCCTCTAGTCAACCCACCTCGAGACCACTTTGCTCAGGACGTCCACAATCAACAGAAAACAGGGAAGGAGAGAGAGGATCTCCTTGACGCAGCCCTCTTGAAGCAAGGATTCTGCATTTCAGCTTCCCATTAACAAGAATGGAGAATTTAACCATTAATTTGGAGAATTTAGGGTGCGTTTGGTTGGTAATCAGAAAACAGAAATCTGAAAACCAGAGTTGTATTCTTTGTTTTCAATGTTTTCAGATATATGTTTGGTAGTAGATTTGGTAATTGAATCTCAGTTTAAAAAATTGTTCAATGTGTGTTTAATAATATATTTGTAAACTAGAAGTAGTTGCAAACTAAATTTTAGTTTAATCTAAACTTATATCAATTAATTTATTAACATTTTTTTTAATGAATTTTGTATTAATTATTATTTTACAAGGTTATATAATTTAGAATACATTATATTTTACATGTTTTTTTTGAACAGGAAACGAACTTTTCATTGATAAATGAAAAGGAACATAAAATGTTCAAGGATACAAACTCCAAAGGAGTGAGAAAGATAAAACATAAAGTTGAAA